ACAAACTTCAAAACACATCAAAGTAGGTACACAAGTCGCTTTATTATTAAAAATACATTTATAGCTATTACACTTGTAATAAGATAATCCTTGTAATAATAGTAGTTTTAACTATTACACTTGATTAGTAAACATATTTTAGGACAGACAATATATATTTATTACAAATAACTAAATTAATTTTCTTAATCTACTTAAATTAGTCAGCTAACTCTTATATTAAAAACTGAAGGTAGTACCAGTTCTTTGCTAAACTGAACTAACAACATAAAAGGCATATGAGAGAGTATCTTGTTTGGGTAATAAGGTCCAATAGCAAATAAGCAAAGAGGTGGGATAACTTTTTGGCCACTTGAGAGGAATATGCTCATATAATAGCAATCTTGTACGCATTAGATGCCATCCAAGTGATGGGTCAATTGTAAGCAATAGTGGGGAATGTAACTACATGTGTTCACATATTATGGGCAAATTCCTAACTCTCTCGTCATACTCTCCTTTTTTCCTTTTGGCCTCATCCTTTTTCATCCCAACATTAATTTCATCCAATTAATTACTTATAATCTATTTGTGAATCTAATATTTAGATTTAAATTTAAATATATAACATCATTATGCCCTATATATATAGAGAGACATAAACAAGGTTCAAAATATATAGAACTATTCATATATAATCGTGAGATGAGTAATATTTAAACAAAAAGGACATTAATCCACAGACGAATGAAACGTTTATGTTTCATTTTAAATTTTAACACAAAATGACGTTGTTTCATAGTTAATAAAAAGAAAAAAAAATCAATTTGATTAACCAGTTCAAAAACTCTTGATCGAGCCAATCAAAAAGTCAACTCATTAGTTTTTGGCTGACCCAAGTTAAGTTTTAAGATAATGTATGCTTTCTCCGTCCCTTATTATAAGATCCAATTTTTCAATAGGTCAATTTCTTTATATAAGATCCTCTTTGAGTTTGTTTGAGCATTTAATGCATTATTACCTATTTACCTCTAACTTAATATATTTAATATATTATCTTTCTTCATTTATCTCACTATTACTATCTCACATATACCTATTTATATATCACGGTATATTTAGAAAAAAATTATATTTGTTACATATTAATTGTTTTAAACTAATTTTAATTGTTACTGTACAATTTAGTTGAAAAGATCTTATAACAAAAGACGAAATAGTATAAGAGAATAACGAAGTTTTAGACTTAGTAATTAAAAAGAGAAACGGAGAAGCAATCAAGTTGCGTTTAGTAGCCAAAGAAGATGTTCTTGTGTGGCAAAAGGTTCAGAAACGTTTGATGGGAGAAGATTTTTTTTCCAATTAACTACTCATGAATTTTATTACTTTAAAAGTGCGGATGATTCGTATTTAGTTAAAATTAAATTTGAAATATATAATTATCTATTTTTTTCCCTTCTCAATATTTTTTTAATTATAACAAATTTAGATCTTTTAAATTTAATCAGAAATGTTAAAATCAGACGTGCATTGTACACGCATGTCCGGTTAGAGTTACAAGAGATTCCAATTTTCTTTCAATCTTAACGAATTGGCTGAAAAAAAATAGAGACAATTCGTAAAACAAAAATCATTTACGTCAATTTTGTTTTCGTCCTCATGAAAGCAGAATAATTATTTTTTTTATAACAAATAGTTTTTTTTAAAAAAGATATTGATGTCATATTTTGTATTTTTTATTTTTATGTAATTTTTTTATTATCTAAATTCCGTTTTTCCTTCCATTATTCCCAAAAAAACTCGATGAAATACCTTTTTTTTTAATCAATAGTTTAAACTTTAAATTATTCATATATCTTACCCTACCTTTATTGCTATTACTAGAAATCTTGGCTTTGCATGAAAATTTAACTTTTATAAATCATATGAAGTGAAATAATTTAATCATGTGAATGGATAATAAAAATAATTAATATATAGAATAAGTGTGCAAATATACATTTACGCATATTAAAAAGCAAATACAGATTATGTGTGCAATTTACTTTTCCTGTTTACTCCCATATTCTCTTTTTTTTTTTTAAAAAAAAGATTTCTTTCTTTTATTGGCTCTATCAGATATGATTTATATCTCTATTTATTTATCAAATGAAAGTAGAGCAGTGAATTTTGTACCTTTTCCCCAATCCTAAATAAGTCATTATTTTTGACTTTTTTTTTTTTCACAAACAAAAGTTCAAGTGAGTTGGTTCCAAAACTTATAAGGGTTAGAGTATGCGTTGACGCTCATATAGCGCTTATGTAGTTACTTGCATATTACCTATTAATAAGTTTTTTACGTTAATAGTGAGATTTGAACTTATAACTTTATTGTTATGAGTTAGTTTGGACATTTATGTCATACATCTAGCTATATTTTTCATATTTTATATTGATCAGTAGAAAGCTAAATTACTCTTGACCAAACATAAAGTAGAAGAGTGTTTTTTCTAACAATATTCTTTTATTATGTAAGAAATCATAAAATTTAGATGAGTTGTCACGACACTCCTTAAAATTAAAAAAAAAACTTGCAAAAACATTTATAGATTGCTTACAAATAAGATTTTTATATCAGAAACAAAATTCAAAGTTAAAATCTTGTGAGCTATTAGTAACATCCTTATGGTTTGTTGACTTCTCTTATTTTTTTTTTATATAACATATCAATATTAATTACACTTATTTTTTTCGAAAATGTTATAAAATGAGAAAATTAAAGTGTGGAAGAAAAAATATAACAGAAAGAGAAGACATTGGAAGAGGAAGCAAATGAGCATTTCTCATTCATTTAAGTCAAAATAATTCAACACAAATGAGTCACCCCTAAATGAATGAGAGATTCAAATTTTTGTCTTTCTATTATATTCTCTCTTCCACACTCTACTTTTCTCATTTTTATAACAAAAAAAAAACACTTCTTTTCCAATTATTTTGTCTCTTCCTTTTTTATTTGCAATGGAGCTTTCATATACGAAATTTACAGATTTTCATTTTTTTTAAACACTTAATTCATAACGTAATATCAATCCATTACATTACAAAGGGAAAAGAATCTAATTGTTTTTGTTACTTTTGCTTACACCGGTTATCTTCAACAGAATAAGAACTAATGCTAAAATAAATCTAATATTAAATTTCACCAAAAACATAAAGCTAATATTAAAATTATTTTTATAAATTATAAATTTTTTTGAAAAGGGTCTAATAAAGCAAAAGGAGAATATCACAAAAGAGTCATAGAAAGATCTAAAAAAATAATTGTTGAATTTTAAAATTTCAAATTAGAATGAGTTACTACACTCGTAAAAAAATAATTACACTCGAAAAGTAAATGACAACTTATTTTTTTAGTAATTTCTGATTTAAAATTTGGAAATTCAACAGTATTTTTTTAGAGATTTTTTTAAGAATTAAATTAGATAACATAATTTTTAGCCTCAAAACTTTCTTTTAACTATTGAAATTAGTTTCTAAATTTTAACTTAATATGATTCCTGGTCAAAAAAGAATTAACATGATCAGGTCCCTGTAATTTGTTCGGATAAAAAATTACAAAGATTGAGTTACATCAATTTTTTTTTTGAGAAAACGAGTTATATCAAATTGGAAATTACAAAAATCGAGTTGTTTCAAATTAAGATCCTATATAAACTAAGTTACTCTTATTAAAAATTTAGGATTGGATTAATAATTAAAATAAATTAAGAATCAAAAGTTGTATTTTTTCTATTGAAAGCTTAACTTTCTTGGGGAGTATTGAGGGCCATTCCATTGCATTTATGTGAATCCGTATAGCTGGTGGCTGTTAGAAGCGCCAGCAGTCTACCCATGCACGCACGACAAACTCATGGTAGGACCAAAGTCTTCTTATACCTCTTATAATATATATATATATATATATATATATATATGTTCTTCCGGTCTTTAATATAAGACACATTTAACCAGTTTGGTTGGATTAAAAAAGTTAGCTAAGTTATTTAATTATAAGAAATGTGACATGTTTTTCCTAAAATACCATAATCATTTTTCTTAATACCCCTCTTCCTTTTCTATTTAATTATGATTAAGGGAGTATCTACAGGGATAATTTAGAGAAAATCGATAGATATGATAAATGAGTCTTATATTTAAAACTAAAATTAAATCAATAATTGGACGGACCGGAGGAGTATATATATTTGTTCATTCCTTTCAGGAATCGAATTGGTACTGTAGGATCGGTAAGCTTTTTAGTTTGTTGATCAAAATACATTCTCATAACATTTTGACAAAGCTTTTTGGGGGAACAATAGATTTGCTGCGAAAAATGAGGAAAAATTAGTAATCAGATGCGATTGGATTAAGCAAATGATTTTTGCCTGATTGTGGGGTAAGTTGTTGGTGGGTATGCCTTAGAAAATCATAAAATTTTTCTCGGCTTTTGCGTAAATTCAAAAGCCGAAATACTGTTTGTGTGTGTTTCCTGCCATTTTTTCATTCATCGTTCGTTCGTTGCTCTTCCTTCTTTGTTTCTTCATTCCTTCCATATCTTCTTTCTTATTTCCGTAACGCTCAAAGTATATATATTCTCTCCCTCTCTCTCCATCTACCTGCCTAGCCATCTTCTTGTCTCTCTGCACTTTTCACTGTTCTTCTTTTTGCGCTTACTTGAATCTCAAGCTCTTGTGTAGGATTTTGCCCTGTGGAGCTGATGTGGTACTAAACTTTTTGATTCGGGATTTTTGCTGTTTTCTACCATCTGCATCCCTTTGTTACTCTCAATTTGTTCATTTCTTGAACGGAATTTGGGCTTCCCCCCGTTTCTTGGATTTTTTTTTTATTTTTTAAAGTGTGAGCTTTTGGGATTTTCCCTCCATTTCAGCACTTGAGATCTAATTGGTTCTCTTTCGTGTTCCTAATTTGAGGTTTTGGGAGGTGTTTTTTGGTTCTTGAGTTTCTCTTTCTCCAATTGGTACGGCTTTCGAGTATTTCGAAGATTTTTTGTTCCTTAATCTTGGAACTCTGTTCTTTGCGGTGGTTTCTGTGAATATTTTGTGAACAGAAGATCTTCAATGCAGATTTGGACATTGATTCTTTTATTACCAAATATGTAATAATCATAATAATTGCCCGGAAGAACGTTGTGTTAGTCTTCCTTCTTTTTTTTTCTTCTTTTTTTTCAAAAAGTTCAAATTCGAGCTGAAAGCCAGTTGTGGTGAGTGGTGACAATCATTTTGTTGGAGGCTGTTTGACAAAACTTGAGGTTACTCCTCATCCAATCTTTGTTACTTCGTTTTCCTGTAACTTAAATCTCGCGTAAAGCCATTTCTTTGAACATTGAACCCAAAAAAAAAGTTCTATTTGACTTGGCTATGGCGTTTCATTGTACATTTGTGGCAGGCCTATTACTTCGATGTATATTGCAGGGTTTTACTTTCTTATTCTTCATCCTTTTGGATAGCACTGAGCTTATGAATTTTTACTTTCTTTATTCGCTCCTTTCTGTTCCTTTCTTTCTTACTTTCTTTTTTGATCACCTCTTTCTTCCTTTCTTTTTGGTAGACTAAATTCTCTTGTTTCTTCTGCTTCATTATTCTTTTGAGTGCCTTTGAGTTAGAATATTTTTCATCTTCAGGCTTCTTTTACCCGAAACACGGTCTTCCTGGGTCTCTATGTACTCCTTTTATAATAGGACATACTGTTTATAGAATTTTAACAGCATTAATTGCTGACTTCTTCGTTATATGAATTTTGGAGCTTCAGCTTTAATTTATTGTTCGAATCATAAGGAGTGGCAGCGTTTCATAAACCACTCATCCTAATTGAGCACAAAAGATCTGTTTTAAGTTTCGCTTTCATTTCTACTTCAATTTTTGATAAACTTTATCTAGGAATTGAAGTCTGGTATGTACTTTGGGCAGATTCTTAATAAGAAAGCAATATTTCCGCTGATTATTAAGTTCAACAATCGTTGAAGATGAGTCAGCCTAAAATCAAGCGCCGAGTTGGTAAATATGAGGTTGGAAGAACTATAGGTGAGGGAACATTTGCAAAAGTGAGATTTGCAAGAAACTCAGAGACTGGGGATCCTGTGGCTCTCAAAATTCTTGACAAAGAAAAGGTTCTCAGGCACAAGATGGCTGAACAGGTAGTTTAAGATTTACTGCTAGTTAAATTTTCTTCCCCTCCATTTTGTATCAGTTCATTCAATTTACAGAGGGCTTACAGATTTGTATCATAACTGTTTTTCCTGTCTTTGAAGAGCTTTCAAACTGTTGACAAATCTATCATTAAGTTTTAGGTGTTTGTTTACATAGTTAAGTTGGTTCTTGTCCATTGTATGGGAACTTTATGTTTAGCATATATTCTGTAGGAAAACTGATCTATACCCTCACGAAATGAAGTCAAATCTCTTGAATGCTTTTTAATGTGATTTTACAGATCAGGCGGGAAATTGCAACAATGAAGTTGATCAAGCATCCACATGTTGTTCGATTATATGAGGTCTCTCTTTCACACACGATCCCCTCTCTCTCCTCCCCTGCCCCCCTTACCTTCCTTTCCTAAATCAAGTCTTCTATTTAATACTTGGCTTATAAATCTAGACACATACTCTGTTTAAAAGACAAAGAACTGTCAACTCTCTATTTGACAAAATATTATTGTTGTCCTGATCATAAACTATGTCATATTCTCTTGGTGCTTGCATTCATCTCTTTAGATTCTGCCAGCCTGAAGAAGTTCTTCTATTAATAAAAGCAACAACTTATGGATATGCATAAATTTGTTCAGAACTCCACTTTTCATTACGACTCTTACTACAATTCCAGAGTTTTTTGTATCCTGACAGTATTCAAAGCCGTTGGAGGCTATGAAACTTGAAAGGTCTTAAATTGTATTTAGAAAGAACTAGGAAAAAAAAAATGTTCTGGAACTGCTGCCTGTTATCTTTGATGAAGTTACATGTTTGATCATCGGACACACTAAGAGGTTTGACTAAAACATTATTTTGAGTTATTTTACCTAATCAGCAGACCTTTTCCTTTTTTCTGTGTATAATTTTATCAATTATTTCCTTTTTCATCACCATCCAGTTCTCTTTAATTCATAGATATTGTTGGTTTTCTTCTCTGTTTTTGTCCTGTCCCGTTTAATCCATTCTTTCTTCCAAGTAAATGGTTAGAGAAGAACACAGCTAAATCTTATTGGTAAAGATTCTATTTCAGGCCTACGTAGACGAGTTTTCATATGACAAATGTGTTCGTAAAATGGATAAGAATGGCAGCATCTGGTCGAATAAAGTGCCTATGATATGACGAATAGTCTTTAGTCTATATTCTTGCACTAGGCATACCAAATCATTAGTTCGTTTACAGAGAACACCTTTGACCTCAGAAATGAATGAAATCTGATATTTTACCTGGGCTTCCAACACTTCCTCTTCAAGACCTTCTTCATAATGATCCATGGTCATAGGGAAAAAAAAAATCTTATACAAAAATATTTGACAAATTGATTCCGTTGCTCCTATGATTTGGAGTACTGCTGACAATAAAAGGGAACAAAGAAATAGATTCCCTTTGGCCATTTTTCAAATTTACTGTGGTTCTGACATGTTTGCCTTTCATCTTGCATTTCACACCGGTCAAAACTCCAAAAAAGTAGTAAAAAACTTCAATTGTCGGAAATCAAAGGATTTTACCTTATAAAAAATATTATCATGATTTGAAACCTAGCTATTCTCAATGTTCTGGTTACTTTGTTGCTAGCTTCCATTCATGATATTTTGTATAGCTGAACTACATGATTCTTTTTCAGGTCATGGGAAGCAAGACTAAAATATACATTGTATTGGAGTTTGTGACTGGTGGAGAGCTTTTTGACAAAATTGTAAGCAAGCCAGTCTATATTGGTCCCATTTATTTAGTGGTTTTTCTAGTATTTTTTATTTGCTCAAGAGCAATTCTGAGGAAAAGAATAAAATAGGGACGGGGTTGTATTCACGAAGCTTATGATACTATAGTTCTATCCGTCCACCACAATTATTTTCCTATTCTTATGTTATCATTATTGTTGATAGGCTTGCCTTGAGTTTTAGTCCCTAACTGTTGTTGAAGAGTTAAAAATGTGATGTATATTATTATTGTCCAATGGACTTTTATTAAAGGTAAACCATGGGCGGATGAAAGAAAGTGAAGCGCGTAGATATTTCCAGCAGCTTATAAATGCTGTTGATTATTGCCATAGCAGGGGTGTCTACCACCGAGACCTAAAGGTAGGACCTACTCTCCGGTCTTAACAGAACAATTTCACTTTGATATCAGAAGAAGTAATCTCTTACATAGCTGTCATTCTTGTTTAACAAAATTGTTGCAGCCAGAAAATTTGCTATTAGATGTTTCTGGAAATCTTAAAGTTTCTGATTTTGGTTTAAGTGCTCTCTCCCAGCAAGTCAAGGTAATTATGTTTCATTGGTTTCTGAGGTTTACTTTTCATTGTTATTTATCTTTGTTCAATGTAGTGATATTCTTGCTGCCAAGTCTACTGCTAATCCTTACAGAAAAAGAAAGTGAATCAGAAAGCAAAATAATTGTTTTGCTTAGCTTGGAAAAGATACTTTTTAAAAATTTATTTTTAACATATCTGTATATTGGGCAGATAGCTTGCTTTCAACACCATACATTAGCATATCTATATATGCTTGAATTCTGTATTGGCAGTCTTTTTAAGTGGAACTGGTAAATGATAATGCAGGTTTAAGTTAGACCTTGTTTATTTTGGTCGGTGTTGTAAAATTCATAATACTTTTTTGTACACGACTTCTTCCTGTTATTGTCTTGTCTCGTTTCTTGGTTGCGTTGACCGTGTCCTGAAGTCTTAGCCTAAATATAAGTAACTTTTCAACTTTATCCCAGGAAAACTCCTTCTTCTTCTGCTTCTTCTTTTTCCTTTTTTTTTTTGGAATCAGAAAGATATGGTTATTGAGTTATATTGTCTCATTTTTCTCAACTGATACTAGAAGTGAGCTAGAATTCCTCAAATAAGCATTGTTGTATCCGGTCTCAGAATCTGGTCGCTCGTCCACACCCATGTAGAGTAGTCTTTTTTTTTGGGTGATAGTGTAGAGTAGTGTTGATAAAACAGTTTCAATGCTATCTCAGAGGCCATGTTGCATCTCACAGTATGATGTGTTGACAGGATGATGGACTGCTGCATACTACATGTGGAACGCCAAATTATGTTGCTCCTGAGGTGCAAACAAATACTGTCCCTTGCTACTTTGTTGTGTTTTTGTGTTTTATAAATTTCAACCATGCTATGATAATAATATGCACTCTTTCTCAACAGGTCCTTAATGATAGAGGCTATGATGGGGCAACTGCAGATTTGTGGTCATGTGGGGTGATTCTCTTTGTATTGCTTGCAGGTTACCTGCCTTTCGATGAACCTAATCTTGTGAACCTATATAAAAAGGTGAGCATTTGTGATTTCTTCTGCACAATTTTCCTGTTGCCCATTATGTTTCTGTTTATTACTTCCTTTTCCTGATCCACAGATCTCAGCTGCTGAATTTACTTGCCCCCCTTGGCTTTCTTTCAGTGCCAGGAAACTGATCGCTCGAATCCTGGATCCAAACCCTGCAACTGTAAGAGAAAGCATTTGATTTTCTATCTGTTTCATCTACTGTAAAAAAAAGGAATTTTTTTCCCCCCTGAAAGGAAAAGCCGTTTCCTGTGGGCTGAGATTGACTTAGTGGCACCATATCAACTTAATTTTGTGAAATGTGTAAAAAAGTAGACGTTTCAGAAGCATTTAGGGAAAAAATATGAGAGAAAAATGGAGGACTTACAATCCTGTCTTGTCTTTTACTATTTTAGTAGTCTGTTACATGCCTCACGGTATGCATTTCTGATTTACACTCAATGACAGCGTATCACGGTATCGGAGATTCTAGAAGATGAATGGTTTAAGAAAGATTACAAGCCTCCTGTTTTTGAGGAGAAAGGAGAGGGCAACATTGATGATGTTGAAGCCGTCTTTAAAGATTCCGAAGTATGTCGAAGATGATAAGTACTATGATTACGGTATTGACTTCTGTCAGTTATGTGACGACTAATATAAAGGGGTTTTTTCATGTTCACAGGAGCACCATGTGACCGAGAAGAAAGAAGAACAGCCAACACCTATGAATGCATTTGACTTAATCTCCATGTCCAAAGGGCTGAACCTTGAAAATTTGTTTGATATAGAGCAGGTTCACAACTTTACATGATGAGATGCTTTTCTTGTATTGTTATGGGACTGTAGATTTGCTGAATGAGCACCCATTTCTTTGCTTCTGCTTCTCAAGCATACGGTACTAAAAAGATTTTGGAGGAAATCTGTAGAAGCGAACGGATTAATCTGATCATGATTATACTTGAATTCAATCATACAAGTGCATCAGTGCGGTCCCTTTTTTGCTATGCATTTGCCATGTGATATAAAAATAGGAAAATTACGCAATCATTTGAAGTAATGTAAATGTGATATGGGAATTGTATTACTTCTTGGGTAGATAATGGGACTGGTTAACTTTTGTCCAAGGCATAATCTGATTTAGGGAGGAAAAATTTTCTTTTACTATGCCACCTTGAGCAGAATATGAAATTTTTTGCTTGATTACTATTTGAATTTTTGTATTCTGATGTGAATTGTTTCAGGGATTTAAAAGGGAAACAAGATTCACTTCAAAATGCCCTGCCAATGAGATAATCAACAAGATCGAAGAAGCTGCAAAACCTCTTGGTTTCGATGTGCGCAAGAAAAATTACAAGGTAACCCAAAATTGCGGAACTCATTATCAACTCACACTCAAAGAAAAACTTGATCTATAGTTAGTTTTTATGTATTTGAACCCACAGATGAGGCTTGAAAACGTAAAGGCTGGAAGGAAAGGAAACCTTAATGTTGCCACAGAGGTACATAACATGAGTTTTCTTTATATAATGAAGTGTAACACAATTTGTCCAGTTTGATGTGTATGATGTTTTATATTTTAAGCAGGTATTTCAAGTGGCACCTTCCCTTCACATGGTTGAGGTGAGGAAAGCAAAAGGTGATACGTTGGAGTTCCATAAGGTATATCATTCTTTCTCTTTGATTTTTTCATTCACCAGGTCCTTGATTGCTTGCTATAATTTTCTATTCCCTGTGCATGTGAGAGAAGCTAGCTTCACTGTTTATTACGTATGAGGTTTTTAGTCTGAAATTTATTTCACTGGAAAGTAGAAACCCGTGCAAAATGATATAGCAAATTATTATATATGTCCCTCAAAAGTACATGTTAAATTTAGTCCTTCAGGCTTCAGGGATAGGTACCAATTTGCTATCATTTGACTCCATTTCTTTCAAAGAATCCACCACTATGATCTTGGAGTGAATTTTGTTGAAAATTATTTTAGTCAACTTCAAGACCAAATTATGATAATTATCTTTCAATGACTGGATTGATCAAACATAGACTAGGGCCGTGTTTTGCTGGTGGACTGTTCTTTTTGCTAGGTGCAATACAATAAGGATGAAAATCAGACAGATTAACTTGGAAATTGGTTCAGAAATTGGATGTTAGTGATGAGATCATACTTCTTTCTGGAATCTAAATATAAGTTTACTTGGAATATTATCAGAGCATATCCACACAAACCTTCGATGTAACTGAAAATCAAATTTTTGCCTGTCCCTGTCTGCAGTTTTACAAAAATCTATCGACAACTCTCAAGGATGTCGTCTGGAAAAGTGAAGATGATATGCAAGAACCAAAGTGAAATCATCGATATTGTTGTCAAGCGTTGTTTCTTCATGGCTTATGATGCTGTCATTTTTCCAGTTTCCTGGTTTAATTTTCCCAACAAACTACCTTGTTGGAGGTTTGATTGGACATATATGATCATCATCACATGGCTTTCTGGGTTATTATTGTGAGAAAGCATGCATAATAGTTCATGTAAGTATTGCCAGTCAACAGCTGAATCATGTTAATGAAACATCTGTAAATCATATGCATGTATTGTCAGTCACCCTTTATGTCGTTCGTTAGTTTATTTTCCTTTACTGCTAGCTTTCCCTACTGTGAAAACTGAAAAGTAAGGATAAAATACTTTTTCCATTAATTTAAATAATAATAAAAAGTATAATATAATGGACATTGCATAATTCAAATGTCGCGTGAAGAAAGTGAATGATCTTCACTTGCTAGTGCTATCAAACTGGGCCTTTGTAGAGGAAAAGGAAGAAAAGGAAAAACACTTTTGTGTTCTTTTTTGAAGATATTTTTAATCCAATGACACAAATTAATGAAGGTTGGAGGTCATGAAAGGTGTTCCTGAAAAAAAATGAGGTTCATAAATGCTTCATTAATTTATGTAGGAATGAGATTAGGAATTTAGGATGAATAAATAATTTTGGCTTGAAATGGCCTTAAGATAGTAAGTGGAGGAAAATTAATGTTTTTCCATATGATCAAACCTAATCAAAATGTTTATATTAAAAAAAATATGACTGTTAATAATATCCCAGTGCTCTCTAAATTTACTCTGTATAAATTGATAAATTTTTTGACACATAAAGAAAGTCATATTCTATGAAGAAAATAATTATTTTTTTCATAAATTATTCAAATATTTTGCTTGCAAAGGCTTTCGCCTCAGTCCTTCTCGAAGTTATCCTCATTTCTTGGAGATAGAGTTTTATTATAATTTCATTTTCTTCTTTGGTCAATGATTTTATTAGAATTTTTTATTTCGACGATATCCATTCGTTTTGGCTTGCTTGTTTGCTTCCTCCTCCGACCACTGATTATTAAAATTTGTTCTCTCCATGATTGAATTTCGTACTGTTCTGGAGAATGGAGATTTCAGTTTCGTTTCTCTTAAGATTTTAGCATCTATAAATATTATTTTATTCGCTCATGATTTTTGTTTGGAAGAGGGAATGAAAAGGAGAGAAAAGGTCTTTTTCCGAGTTCTGATGTGCGGATAAATGGAAAAAACATAAAAAAATGAAAAATAATTTTTTTTTTTTACACAAATCACAACGATAATAATACCTCGACTTAAATATAGAAATTAGATATTAAATGTGGATATTTTTTTTAGTGGGAAGTCAAACTTTGATTAACCACGTTTGAAAGAATTATTTCTTTTTGTTAGACTCAATCATAGTTGGTGATATTATAATGACTTTAATTATAATTTGTCTTTAAGGTCAATGGTGCTTGTGGTACTATCAAATTGATAAAATTAATTAGCATTTGAGTCTCTCTCTAAATACCCTTGGCCACGTTTACGTGTTGAAATGAAATACGTTGGGAAAGAATGTTACGTGACATTAAATTAATTAAAATTTGGACTGGTCAAACTCATCGTAATTTTGATTGTTTTGGTCCAATTCTCTTGTTTATAATGTTTATATTTTAATTTAATTCCAATAACATTTTCTTTACCTTTCAATGATTCAACATTTACTTTAAATTATTTAAAAAATGTTACCCCTATAATATCCTTGCATTATTGTTTTATTACAACTAACTAATTAACTAATACATGATATTACCAAATCATATTCTAATATTATTTATAACTCACTCATCCATTATATCTTCAGAACTTCACACTAAAAAAAGCCTTAACTCTTAGTAAATTAATTTTTTTAAGATATGTACATATTGAATCAAACCAAACTAAATTGGATGAAAGTACTCCCATTTAACTAATTTGATTAAATTAAGAAAGTTAGGTAAGTAATGTGACACATTTTTCCTAAAATATCATAATCATTTTTCTTAATACCCTGTTTTCTTCTTCTACTTAATTATGGTTGAGAGTGTATCCATAGGGATAATTAGAGAAAATTGATAAATATGAAAAAATGGGTCTTATATTTAGGACCAAAATTAACTTAATAATTAGGTCTTATATTAAGGACCGGGAGAGTATTTAGGTTTGTTTCATTTAGTTGATTGGATTACACCGTCCTAATTGATACCAATGAGGCCTAATTTAGCCAATCTTTTTGTTTTTTGGCCAAGTCAAGTAGTATTTATAAATTCTGTACAAATCTCAGTGGGAAATCCATCCAAAAATTACAACATGAAAGGTGTTCCTGAAAAAAAATGAGGTTCATAAATGCTTCATTAATTTATGTAGGAATGAGATTAGGAATTTAGGATGAATAAATAATTTTGGCTTGAAATGGCCTTAAGATAGTAAGTGGAGGAAAATTAATGTTTTTCCATATGATCAAACCTAATCAAAATGTTTATATTAAAAAAAATATGACTGTTAATAATATCCCAGTGCTCTCTAAATTTACTCTGTATAAATTGATAAATTTTTTGACACATAAAGAAAGTCATATTCTATGAAGAAAATAATTATTTTTTCATAAATTATTCAAATATTTTGCTTGCAAAGGCTTTCGCCTCAGTCCTTCTCGAAGTTATCCTCATTTCTTGGAGATAGAGTTTTATTATAATTTCATTTTCTTCTTTGGTCAATGATTTTATTAGAATTTTTATTTCGACGATATCCATTCGTTTTGGCTTGCTTGTTTGCTTCCTCCTCCGACCACTGATTATTAAAATTTGTTCTCTCCATGATTGAATTTCGTACTGTTCTGGAGAATGGAGATTTCAGTTTCGTTTCTCTTAAGATTTTAGCATCTATAAATATTATTTTATTCGCTCATGATTTTTGTTTGGAAGAGGGAATGAAAAGGAGAGAAAAGGTCTTTTTCCGAGTTCTGATGTGCGGATAAATGGAAAAAACATAAAAAAATGAAAAATAATTTTTTTTTTTTACACAAATCACAACGATAATAATACCTCGACTTAAATATAGAAATTAGATATTAAATGTGGATATTTTTTTTAGTGGGAAGTCAAACTTTGATTAACCACGTTTGAAAGAATTATTTCTTTTTGTTAGACTCAATCATAGTTGGTGATATTATAATGACTTTAATTATAATTTGTCTTTAAGGTCAATGGTGCTTGTGGTACTATCAAATTGATAAAATTAATTAGCATTTGAGTCTCTCTCTAAATACCCTTGGCCACGTTTACGTGTTGAAATGAAATACGTTGGGAAAGAATGTTACGTGACATTAAATTAATTAAAATTTGGACTGGTCAAACTCATCGTAATTTTGATTGTTTTGGTCCAATTCTCTTGTTTATAATGTTTATATTTTAATTTAATTCCAATAACATTTTCTTTACCTTTCAATGATTCAACAGTTACTTTAAATTATTTAAAAATGTTACCCCTATAATATCCTTGCATTATTGTTTATTACAACTAACTAAATAAAAATACATGATATTACCAATCATATTCTAATATTATTTATAACTCACTCATCCATTATATCTTCAGAACTTCACACTAAAAAAAGCCTTAACTCTTAGTAAATTATTTTTTTAAGATATGTACATATTGAATCAAACCAAACTAAATTGGATGAAAGTACTCCATTTAACTAATTTGATTAAATTAGAAAGTTAGGTAAGTAATGTGACACATTTTCCTAAAATATCATAATCATTTTTCTTAATACCCTGTTTTCTTCTTCTACTTATTATGGTTGAGAGTGTATCCATAGGATAATTAGAGAAATTGATAAATATGAAAAAATGGGTCTTATATTTAGGACCAAAATTAACTTAATAATTAGGTCTTATATTAAGGACCGGGAGAGTATTTAGGTTTGTTTCATTTAGTTGATTGGATTACACCGTCCTAATTATACCAATGAGGCCTAATTTAGCCAATCTTTTTGTTTTTTGCCAAGTCAAGTAGTATTTATAAATTCTGTACAAATCTCAGTGGGAAATCCATCCAAAAATTACAACATGGTTAAGTATGTATTTGATCTTTTAACTTTATATAAAATTTTAATTGGTCTCTTAACTTTAAAAAATATATTCGATTGTTTAATCCTAAAATTATTATGCTTAAATGATAATTTTTTTGTAACAATCATAGTTGTTTTAAAAATTAAATTCAATATGTTAACATTTGAAAATGTTTTATCAATATCTAAAATCTCAATGTATCATTTTTTTTTGTTAATAATTTTAGAGTCAAAGGACTAAGTAATAATTTTTAAAGTTAATAGACTAAATTGAACTCGTTATAAAATTAAAAATTAAATATATACTTTAGCTTTTAACAGTTATTCAACCAAAATAATTTAAATTTCAAACAATAAAACCAAATGGACCCATTCAATTTGGTTGGGCTCAACATTTTTGCAGACCATCCAAAGCTCATGATATGTATCATTCAATATTCACTTGTTTACTCAACATGCATTTTTTTATTGCGCTTTTGTTTATAAATAACCACATTGGAATTTTACCAGCAGGATATAGTCATATATCATAAATGGAACTGGTCTCTAAAAGTATTATCACAAATCTCAAATTACAAATGAATAAATGTTAGACATATTAATTCAAAAAAAAATATTGAAATTAAGCCGATACTTTCAAAAAATGAAAGTAGCCAAATTTCAGGAGGGCAGAACGATAGCCATCATCAATGAGTGGCGCAAGAAAGGCGTCATTGATTTAAATTGCCATTTATTTATCTTTCTTTGATCAAGATATAATGATATTATGTTATATTTTAATGGGTAGGGATCAAATGTCTCTTCAAAATTATTTTGATTTGATCCTTATTTAATTTTAGAAAATTAAATAAATATATAGCCTTATTTATATATATTGAAAAAAACTAAATCCTAACATTCAATTTATATATTAGATCCTATTACTAAATTGATATGTTATAATAATGTTTCATTATTATAAATTCAATGAATTTGAGGAGTTAATTCTGTGCCTCTTATTTTGTTTTGTTTGATGCATAGGTGATCCAAAAATCATTTGTTTGAATTTTGTTTATATAAGGAGACTAGCTCTTATATTTATTTATTTTTTACTATATTCTAATAATTAAATATCACATATACAATTAACAAGTTTGAAATAAGAAATACGAGGGCAAAAAAGAAAAAAAAAATGATTTAAATTTTTGCAAATAAATGTCATGAAAAAGTTGAAGTTGATAAAATATTATCATTTCGTCTGCTCAAGTCATTATAATTTTGATTTTTAGCGCCAAATAGGATTTCTCTTTTGCCCTACGTGCCCCCAGTGTTTCTTTAAGATCTATTAGTTTGACATTTAATAAAAGATATGTTTGCCACAACACCTAATTCTCTAAAAATCCAATGGATCTTCCAACTCTTCTGTAATGCTATGCAAATTCTGTTGACAATAATACTTGCAGAAAAACGGTAAATCCAGTCGTGTTCTATGGACACTGTGCTTGAGAGTTATTCTATAATAACTAGCAAAGCAAGAAGCGGCACTCTCTGAGATTAAACGGATTCTTCTTACAAAAGCAGGGTGAGCAAATAGCGAAAGATAGGAGAACTCAACGGGATAGAACAATAGAAGGAGGGAAGAGAGAGTTGCTTGAAAGCTCAAAGCTCAAGGGGTTATCATGAACTTCACTCTCATGCACCTTTGATAGGCCGTGAATCACAATATCATTAGGCACATTTAAATGTGGCTAATGGAAATTAACTCATAAGTAAGTGCGATTTTAAGTAGTAATTAACTTGTTTAGTGACTATTTAAGATAAGTAAAATCTTTGGTTATGAACATTAAAAAGGTATACTTGTAATAAAATGATATATTAATTAGATAGATATCTCTAATAAAATGCTCAGTATTACATTTGACTCGTGCATAAGAGATGAGGGTAAATTGCTGGATTTGTCTCCAGTGACTCATTGTGCGTACGAGTCCACTTTTCCTCTTGACTCATTTAGTAATCTAAGATTACTTATCACTTAGACTCTCATAATTCCAAGTAGTGCGGGACTCTTCATTTGACACACTCACACATTATTTACAACAAGATACAATATCTAGAATTTGAAATTTTATGAAAATAAATGTCAGACATACGTAATTTTTTTTTGTTAAAAAAAGGTAATTTGTTTTCAAAGACAACGAATTTTTTTTTTTGTAATTTCTAATTTGATGTGTAGCAATTTAATCCACAAGATTGTTGTCATATTTTTTATTAGGTCTAATTTTGTTAAATTTTTTTTTCCTGTATCAAGTATTTATGAATTTTGTACAAATCTAAGTGGAAAATCCATCCAACAATTAAAACAATTATTCAACCAAAATAATCCAAATTTGAACAAATAAAATCAAAATCGACCAATTCAATTTGGTTGAATTCCAACATCTTGCAGACCATTCAATATAATGAAGCTTTGGATGATCTGCAAGATATTCACTGTTTTGGATGAAACTTACATAAATTAAAGTTGTCAAATTTAATAGTTTAGCCAACTCATTATTGTTCAAAGTATAGATACTTCTCTTAATAGAAATTTAAATCTTATTTTTCACTTTATAAGAAACTAGTCCCATTCTACTAAATTTAACCCCGGTTGGGAGTTATATTACTGTTGTTTTTGCTAAACACAGATATTATCATATTAAAAGAAATCCTATTTAGATATTTTCGGGTATTGAATGTGAGCACTTCTAATAATGATTCAAACTTACGTTAGAAATATAAAACAAATTCTGGTAAAAACTTCGGATGGACCGTGTGTAGTATTATCTTGGGCTGTATTGGGCCTCGTCCCCTGCAACGTGAAAATTGTGGCTCAGTATTCCTTTTTTAATTTTAATTTTAACTTTAACTTTTTGTTTTTGGCCATCTCTGTTCTCCTTTTGTTTACCAGCCGTCCTCTTCTTTGGGCGTCGCACCCAATTGGCGATGGATGAATCAGCTGTATAGAGATCTTTCGCCTCCATTCTCGGTATGTTGTTCTTCTTCTCTCTCAGCTTACCTCTAATTCTAATATCAACTAGTAATCACTTCGAATTTTATTTTATTTTTCCACTTTTTGGGTTCATTTCTGTGCGCAAATGATTCATTCCTTAATCCTTCCGGTCTCGGTGGGGGAAGCAGTGCTTGGTGATTACTTCACTGCCAAAGATTATTCACTCAACAGTGTGAATTGTCTGAGTTTTCGTTTCAATGAAAAATTTTGGTTTTAAGAATCACTTGTGAGGGCTATTTAGTTACAACCTGAAACTTACTCCTAGATTGTATCGATCTTATTGCGGATTGGGGTGCCGGAAACTGACATCAAGTAAAACTGATGCGGAGGTGATCTTTATTCATTATCCATTCCATTTGCCGTGGTGGAAGTCTTACCTACTTTAATTTTGTTTATATTTACTGTATCAAACCTAAGACGTAACGAAACAGTGAGGAAAGGAGAAATGAGGGTTGGTTACACTTGTATTAAACTTATATAATCTTTTTAAAAAATACTTCTTTTGGTTTATATCATTAGCGTACCTCATTCAAGTGTTACGTCTTTTTCTGCTCGAGTTATTTTTGTCAGTTTTGAAACTTACGAAATTGATTATTTGACGGGTTTTTTCTCCCTTACAGCTCCTTGGTGCATCATCTGTGATCTGCGTTTGCATCAGATATGGCTGGGACACGACTAGTTCAGGGCTCAACAGTGCCAACTGCTTTGTCTTCGTCGTTATTAATCTTACCGGGGAATTCTCTTAAGTGCACTCCTTATCTCCCGCCTAGAACTCAAACAAAATTCAAGAGTATAAGGGCTACGTCTGCTGAAGCAGGACATGGTCAATCACCATCTATTTCTGAAACGAAGAGTCCACTTGCAGTTATTTTGGATGTACCTCGTACTATTTGGAAGAAAACATTACGCCCATTAAGTGATTTTGGGTTTGGTCGTAGGAGTATCTGGGAAGGTGGGGTTGGACTGTTTCTTTTGTCTGGTACAGTTCTATTTGCACTCAGTTTGGCCTGGTTGAGGGGTTTTCAAATACGATCCAAATTCAGGAAGTACACAGCTGTGTTTGAGTTTGCTCAGGCTTGTGGTTTAAGCACTGGAACTCCTGTGAGGATTAGAGGAGTGACAGTCGGCAATGTCATTCGTGTGAATCCTTCATTAGAAAGTATCGAAGCAGTTGTAGAGGTTTGTTTTTATGATTAGCTTAATTATGCAACCATGTTTGCATCAAACTTGTTTGGATTTGCATTTCATTGTTTTGGTTGGTGCAATATACTAAATCTCTGTATTTTAATTTGCAGATTGAAGATGACAAAACAATCATACCCCGAAATTCATTAATTGAAGTTAATCAGTCTGGCCTTCTTATGGAAACTTTGATTGACATTACTCCTCGAGACCCAGTACCAACACCAACAGCTGGACCTCTTGACCAAGAATGTCAGAAAGAAGGTCTTATTGTATGTGATCGAGAAAAGATGAAGGGTTACCAAGGAGTCAGCTTAGATGCATTGGTTGGGATATTTACCCGTATTGGACGAGATGTTGAAGAAATTGGCGTTTTTAATACGTATCTCCTTGCTGAACGAGTTTCTTCTGTCGTTGAAGAAGCAAGGCCACTTCTTACAAAGGTGTGATGTACTATTCTATGTTAGTCATGCATCACTCATGGTAATAAATTGTTTCAACAGGATAGACAATTTTCTTTCCAGTAAAACCTGGATAATTTCATGATAGTAAAAATTTTTTTCTCTCAACAACTGAAGTTGAGTCATTGTTAGGTGCAGCTTGTGATGTGTTAAATCATTACAAGAATGCCAATCCCTTGTTATCTGTTTGAAATGGTTGTATGAGAACTCAATTCTATTCTTCTGCTCCTTATATATATATATATGTATGTATGTATGTATTAAATGTAGTGAATCAATTTACTATTAAATGCTAAATTCGAGTATTAAGGAACTTAGGAGATGGAGGTTGACATGTAGAGATATTTTGTCACATTCTGGGCATTTACAATCCATGCTCTTGTCCGTTAAGCATTCATAGGTAGCAAAAGGAAATAATTTTGGTCAGCTTGAGATAATCTGTTAAGTGACTTAGAATTTTGCTGCATGTAAAATCAGTTTAATCATCTAAAATGTGAGGAAATTATCTCAGTTAACTGTCAGTCTGTCGCTGTTTGGGTCGCTCTAGCAGTTTGTGGTGATACTACAACACTGTAATTATGGGCAAATAGTTAAACAAAATGATAATGAGAAGTTTCAGTAACCTTTCTGCTGTGTTTATATGTTCTCTAAATCTCTTTGGTATCCATGTACCTTATTTCTGTTGTTGGGAATTTACTCTCTTTCTGTGATTATTCGGTTATGCATTCTAATACCCATACTTTTGGCTTTGATGTAGTGATGTCCCAGATCAAAGCCATGGCTGAAGACATTCAACCTTTGTTGGCTGAAGTTCATGATAGTGGGCTGTTGAAAGAAGCTGAGAATTTAACCCGAAGCCTTACACAAGCCTCTGAGGATTTGAGGTCAGTTGTCTTACTCCAATATGCCTGCACACACGTAGCAGTGCGGCACATGGACATTAGTGTGGAAAATGACAACTAGCCTTTTAACATCTGACCTTGGAATAGATTGAGGAGATTTGGGATGAAGACGTGGACAATTGTTTGGAGTTTTTAAATGAAGTTATGTTGTTCTTGTCCTATGTTTAAGATAGACCCGATGCTGTCTATAATTGTTGTTTCTGCTCATAATTTTGAGTCCAATCAATGGCCTGCCTGCGCAAAAGTACGCAAAGATTGGATTTTGGGCCATGGGCGGTCTAACTATCATGATAACTAAATATTTTTTCCGTGGGCACAAGTTTTGAATGGTCAAAGTAGTAGCATTTCAGTCTGCAGTCTATGAATATCTTGATTGCTTGAAAACTCTATTTATTATTTGTAATAGGTATGTCATTTTTCTTTCTTTTCTTTTTTTTTTTTGAATTAGTAGTATCCACAGGAAACTTAAAAATCAGAAATAGGATGTTAGATTAGATTCCTGAAGACTTGTAGGGATATCTTTTAACTTTGGAGAAGGGTAAATTCATTCATCATGAGAGCTGATTTTAAAGAGTTCATTCACCTTTCATTTTACCCTGAAGTCCATTCTTGAAGTATGTGACAGCTGATCGATAGATCACATGTTTATGCAGAAGGGTTAACTCCTCCATTATGACCCCTGAGAACACGGAACTGATTCAGAAATCCATTTACACTCTTATTTTCACCCTGAAGAACATTGAGGTAAAGCCCTTTACAACAGCCTAGAGTTTTAATTGATGATGAATAACTTTTCTTTTGATGTTTATTATTGCAGAATATCAGCTCTGATATTCTTGGTTTTACTGGCGATGAGACTACAAGAAAGAACCTGAAAATACTTATCAAGTCTCTGAGCAGATTACTCTGATGTTGAATTCCAACTAAATTAGAATATATCAGGTGATAAATTTTCTACGGAGTTTTTCATCAACCCCAACAATTGAGCAGGACAAAGCAATTAGTTGAGATTTTCGGAGTGTTTTTACTATACCTTAGTGCAGTATGTTACCGCCCAGGTAGCTCTGTCCTGCTTATAAATCATATATAAATTATGTTGGATGATGGTGATTTTTAGTGGTTTATCATTCCCCAGCTAAATTGCCTGTTGAAGAAGAATGCTATTACAGGTTTACAGCATTCACAAGTCTTTCCATGGTGTTTTTTCGGTTGTGTCAAATTAGACATAGTTTGGATCAATGCTTTCACAAGTTTCTTGATGAATCACCTGCTTAATTCCAAGGATACACCGCTGAACATTAAATTTCTTTTCTTTGTGCAATTAGCCCTCGTGAATGCAACCAATATAAGGGGAAATTACTATGAGATCATGATAAAGAATATAATTAATAAAAATCTTGTCATTTCTTGCATCGGAATTTATCATTCATTTGTCATGAATATTTTTTTTTTGATCAGCAAATGAATCCTTTTTTTTTTATAGTTATATGTTTCTGGTGGGATCATGTCAATATGATTGCTGTTTGACATGGAAGTTTGTGCTTTTTCTGCAATATATTGAAAAGATAATTTTATACTCCTTTAGCTTGTTACTATAAGCTTTAAATAACTAATTCATAAATAATGAATTGTTAGTTAAAATTTTATTAAAAACATAAATAGATTGGAGATATAGTTTTATTTTTAATTATGTTTTTATAATAAATGAGAAAAAAAATAAAAGAATATGTGCGGAAAAAGATGATAAGACAGAGTAAGATAAATGAGAGAGAATAAATAATTAAAAATAAAATTAAAAGATATATTAAATGTTAAGATAAATTTCTAATTGTAGTTTATAAATGGATTAAATTTGTTTCTAAATTTGAAAGTTATAAATAGGATGGGAGTTGTAATCTTACCGGACAAAACTAAAACATGGTTGTGACCAAATCTACGGCTTGATTTTGCAATCCCTAGGAATGAATCTGTAGATATGATGGGCAATGATTTAGACATGTACTTTGTAAAATCAAAATATTCAGAATTGAAACATTGGGGTCAATGAATGTTGGTTTAATTCTAAGTTTGAATTTTCAAGTTCACGTAAGCATCTTATTTATGGGTAATTTACTAGTAATGAGCTCGTTTTGAGCTCTGACCTACCAAGATTTTCGTCAGCCTTTTAAATTTATCTTAAACATTTTGTCATTAAAATTAATGAACAATGATTTGGACTTGCATGTTAGCCACAAATTTTTCAGAAGAGTTAATTATTTTACTTTTCTCTATTCTATTTCTTTTGGAGGTATATTTATAACCGCGTAAAATAACCATTTAGGATTACCACGATTTGGCATTTCTTTTTTTTTTTTTTTTTGGGGAGGGGAGCAAGTCCAAACTTTCTACCTCCTACGTTAGAATTAAAATAGAAAATTTTGTAAGAAGTATGCTTTTTTCTGAAATAAATAAAATGAATACTATCTCCGGTTTTAATTATAAGACCCAGTTGACTAATTTGAAGAGATTAAGGAAAGAAGTTAAGTTAGTTATTTGTAATAAATAGGTGTTGTCTTTCCTAAAATATCCTTACTAATCAACTATATTGGCTAGAACTATAATTATTAGAAGGACTATTTGAAAAAAAAATGCATAAATATGATAGACAAAGTGGATTGAGGTCTTATATTTAGGAACAAAATAAAAGTCAAACAGGGTCTTATATTAAGACCGAGGTAGTACTCCCTCCGTTCCTTATTAGAAGAGACATTTGATGCTTATGGTATGTTCCTATATATAAGAGACACTTAAAAGTGTCTCTACTTTTTGTGTTGATTTCCTATTTTACCCATATTTATTATCTCCAACTCACACTCTCTCTCCCTCCCACTTCCTCTTTCTTTTAATATTTTAATTATTCTCTCTCTTGCTTCTCTTTCCTTATTAATGAGGGCATTTTTGGAAAACAAATTATACTTTTTACACATTAATTGTTCTTAACTAATTTTAACTGTTTTTTTATCAACGTATTTCGGTTATTTGTCTCTTATAATAAGGAACGGAGGGAGTATTAAATAAGAAGATGTTTGGTTTTCATGTAACGTCTTTTACACTAAAAAAAAATGTTCCGGCAAAAAACCAACAACTAAAAGGCTTGGAGAAGCAAACGTCAATGAGTTATGGTTAGAAGATAAAAAGCGTCAAGGTTGAGTTATGGTAACGCTTCTGTTTTTGTTTTTCTTATTAATTTTTTTTTTGGGGTAAGGAAATTCCGAGAACATAAGTTAATTATCAATGGTCTGTTTGGTATGAGGAAAATGAAAGGAAAGGAAGGAGAGAAAAATTTTTAGTGAATTCGTTTTAAAAAATTAAAAAAGTGAGGTTATAAAATTTTGATAAAGAGAAAATGTAAGATAAAAAAGTAATTAAAATTAATCAAAAATTTTAACCCTACTTTTTCAATTTTTTAAAACAAGCTCATCAAATCTTTCCCTCCGTTTCCCTTATAGCAAACGGATCCTAAACATTCAAATCTTTCAATTAATCAATTCAAGTACCTGTTTTGGTGCCCCTCTCTTGCACCAAAAAAAAAAAAAGCAAAAAAAAAAAACAAAAAGAAAGAAGGAAAGAGAAAAAGATATGGAATTCAATTCAACATGTGTTCGTATTCGAGTAGGGTAGAAAAAGAATTACTCCTTCTGATCCTAAGTATAAGATTTATTTTATAGTATCGATCATACTACAAGGTTTTATATTTAGAATTAAAAATGTACTAGTTATAATATCATAATTAAAAATAACTGACAAAAAGAATTAAAAATATAAAACATTATTTGTTGGCGATACGTAAACACTTGTGTAACTATTTGACACAACTATAGGATATCATTGTCAAATTTCAGAATTTCAGTATCAAGCTCTCAATTATTTGAATGGTCATTCTGAATAGCAAAAAAAATAAAAATAAAATAGTTTTGATTTATGTTAAAGAAAAGTATGAAGCATCTGGAAGATAATAATAAATGGCATAGAAAAGACACTGGGGTGGGGTAATCAGACTGACCCACGAACAGACGCGAAGATTATTCTTCGCTTTCTTTTGGACTTTTTTTTTAAGACTATTACTACCTCCGATCCTTAATATAAATTTTGTTTAACTTTTATTTTTAGTCCTAAATATAAGATCCAATCCACTGTCTCTTATATTTATATTTTTTTTTTCAAAGTAGCTTTTCTAACAATGATAGTTCTAGTCAATACACTTGATTAACAATGATATTTTAAGAA